AAGAAAGTACTAAAATTCTTTAATTGTAGGAAGGAAAGAGCTCATCGTTATGCGTTAGAGAAATGAGGTTTTGAAATAAGTGCAACCCATTTTGTTTTGGACGGCCAGAAACACATACAGGACAAAAAGAGTTCTCATTTCAGAAAAATTTAACTGACCAAAATGGATGGTTGTTTAAACCAAAACACATGCCAAGCAGCTAAGGCTCAGCGATGAGACAAAAACCGCACAGCTGACATAAAATTGTCCAGATACAATTTATTTTGGAGGATCAGACTCAGTTGAACTGGAATCACAACTGTCTTCATTTTGGCAGATTTTCACAGAAAATACAGGGTTTTTTGAGTTTGTGCAGGCTTTGTTCCACACTCCCATTAAAGTGTGCGAGAAAGAGACTCTCCCATCCACTCACCACCACCTGCAGGGAAGGCAGGTTACAAAGAATCACAGGGGGCACAACTCTCAGCCTTCCCCCTACCAAATTGCCCGATTCTGTGATGCTCCCTCCCACGCCACCTTACTTCCCTGTCACCCCTTCTCTGGGCAAAGGGCAGAACATCCAGCTACCCTCATATTTGGGGCATGAATAACCAGCGCTGTTATCACAGCCCTTCTCCCAGATACAAAGCTCATCAGCTGTCTCAAGCGACTATTGTCGCATTATATATGCATGCACCAAACAGATCACAGTCCTGTGTTTGCATTACATCTCTATTAGTAGAACTTAATGCACTAACATGAAGGAGCTTAAAAATGAACAGACAGGAGCTCAGGAAGGGAGGAGCACACACTGGCAATATTCAACAAAGCCCGGTGCAACTGAGAAAGTGCGTGGAGATTAAGAGTCGTTTTATACTCTAGTTGGAAATGATGTCGTCTTGAACTACAGCAGTTAATTTGGGGGTGCTCAATCCAAAGGATATTAGAAAAAGGGGATTTGCTTAGCTTGTACAATATATTGTCTTAACTTGTACACTTGCAGGGCTGGATACAGACAGCAGTGTGCATCCTTTGTGAAGTTCTCTCAGGATACAAAGGAACTCATGAATCTTAGTGCTTCCAATAAGAGTGAAAAAACATCTGATTTTAATGAGGAGAAGCAGACAGTTTCCTTCCTGATTGTGGGAGCTTAATTTGAGGCACGTATGTAACACTCTTTACAGAAAAATATCAGTAACTGTGAGGGTAGGTGCACTACCCAGTATTTCAGTTTGGGGTTATTTTGTTGTTTGGTTTTGTTGGGGTTTTGGTTTTTTTTTTTAATCTTTTTCCTGGTGCTAAGTGGTTACAATTAATCCTACCCAATGTCTACAAAGGAAAGGGGGGAAAAACATTTGACGCAAACCAGCAGAAAAGCACAACCTAAGCCATAACATCCTGCAGCACTGCATGCCAGAGCTAATCCCATGGACCAGCATGCAATGGCACCCTCGTGAGAAGTTTGGTCAGATAGAGCCCTTTGGGAAGAAGACAAGACATGCAATCCCAACGCTGTTTGTTTCTAAAAGCAGTGAAAAGCTATAGAGTTACCACTCAGTAACAGAGATGTGCTAGACATTACCATGGGAATAAATCTACTAAACATTAGACTGCCAGTTCCTTGTCAAAGCAATAACCCATTCCTTGGATGTGTGGCCAAATTGTCATTAATGCTAGAGAAGAAGCAGGGCCAAGGGTTGCAGTCACAGTGATACTCCCTCCAATGCTTCTGGACGCACAGATAAAAATCACTACTTCCACATCTTGCAGATGGACATTCTCATCCCAGTAGCATTGCCCGCTACAGCATGGACTGACCTATCTAAGGTATGGAAAAGCAGGGTCCCTTGCCTGCTCTGTTCATTCTAGTGCCATTTCCTTGGTCTCACCCAGTGCAGATTCAACTTCTAGCTACTCAGCTGAAGATGATTTTACTGCTACAAGAGCACCACAGCATTCATTTCTCTCTGTGGTTTTCCGTATATGCTTGCAAAGGGATAGCTTGAGATCCACTTGCTACTTCCAAAGATGACTGCTGTCCCTTTCACAGAACTGAAGTTAGTTCTGACTGTGTATCTGTTCAATACAATACAGGATCCAGTTTTCAAACAAAAGGGCTTTTCCTCTGGCAACTAAGCTACAAATATTTCCACCAACATTGTCTTTGCTTTTCTGTTGATACTCTGTGCATCCGTATCCAAACTTTGTCTCCTTAGAGGGCTTTCAGGACTAAACTCATTGTTCAGTCCTTCAGTAGTTCATATACTTTATAAATCCTGATTAATTCAATCCCCCTTACAATAAGAAAGTACTAAAATTCTTTAATTGTAGGAAGGAAAGAGCTCATCGTTATGCGTTAGAGAAATGAGGTTTTGAAATAAGTGCAACCCATTTTGTTTTGGACGGCCAGAAACACATACAGGACAAAAAGAGTTCTCATTTCAGAAAAATTTAACTGACCAAAATGGATGGTTGTTTAAACCAAAACACATGCCAAGCAGCTAAGGCTCAGCGATGAGACAAAAACCGCACAGCTGACATAAAATTGTCCAGATACAATTTATTTTGGAGGATCAGACTCAGTTGAGGGCAAGGAAAAGGAAATTAATCAGCGTCCTACGTAGGGGAAATACTCGAGTCTCTTCAGCCACAGATTTTAATCAGTGAGTCTTAGGAAAACACTGAGTTTGTAGGGGAAATAGATAAGCAGACTTCGCTGCCAGAAAAGCTGACCAGCACACACAGACTTCAAGAGCAGCTCTTCATCTGAGCATAGCTTCTCTCACTTGCATGGTCAGTGCTGCAAGGCACCTGCTCACATGGAGACTCCTGCTCATACACTAACACTTGAAGTTGTAGTTCCCTATCAAAAAGCCAGAGAGTACTGCCCTATTCCAAACCCAGGAATGCAAAGACAACTTGCCAGCAGGGTGGGTAAGATCAAGACCTACTTCAAAAAGGTCAACAATTAAGCAGTAAAATCACAAGGCAAGACTTTTCTCCCCCCAGAAAGCACTGGCAACAGTCCTGAACAACTACCAAGGCAACCAATTCTTCCATTATATTTACTTTTTACTCACTGTTTGTTGTCCCAAATTAAGAGAGTCCAACGTTCAGGTATGTTCTGTCTCAGTTTCCTGGAGAAATGCTAACTGAGTAAGAGTGCTCCCAGGTGACCTCTTTCAAAGTGATTAAAGCTTTCACAATTGCAGGTAATGACCCTCAGCTGTGGCACCTTGCAGCCATCCACACAATTATGGAAGGAGGAAAGGGGAAATTTTTTGCACTCAAGTTCAAGCTGTTCCAGCTTTATTCAAAGATATTGAAAATTCCACATTTTGTCTCCTTGACACTTAAATTTGAAAAGAATATTGACAGAAGTATTACAAACGGCCAGGTAACTGAGATACACGTGAAGCCTGGCTCATGTGTTTGTTACCTCCCTCACATCCCCAACCCACTAATAGATCCTCCTTTGCAGAGCTTTGCCTCTCTAAAGCTTTTGAGATGATTGCATGCATTTGTTTCCCCTTTCAGCAAGTCTCCAAATCAGACTGGTTGCTGGCAACACCTGCCTCAGCCTCCTGAAAAGGCTGTAGAACAGTCCCCACCTGCTCTTCCAGAAATTATCTGCATTCCTCAGGTGTAAGTGAGTAGATCTGGCTATAGCTGGGGTTTATTACATTACTACAAATAAGCCAGCAGATTCCCTTCTATGAACATGTCTTAAAATCGAAGCAGAATTTTGCTGCACTGTATTTGCAAAATTATGTTAATGTTTATACTAAATCCATGTCAAACAAAAAAAAAAAATCTAGAGGGAATCCTAAAATTTTGTTCAGGTACAAAAGAACTTAAGAAACAGAACTAAAAGAAAATTTCAGAATTAAGATCTTTGAGATTTGAGTCCTGAGGTTACACAATCAAAGTAGAACTGGTGCAGGGAAAGCAGGGTCAGACCAGGGGAAGATATTGCTGATAGGAGAGCATGACTCAACTAGTGGCAATAAAGAAAGAAAATGTACTGAGTGGCTATTATGACAGATTCAGAGAAAGAAAAGGAAAATGACTAGAAAGCAAAGCAGCTATTCCTGTTGGGAAAAGTGCAAGTGAGAGTATTGCCCTCGAACTATAAATGAAGAATCAATGGAGAGCAGGGGCCAAGTACTTTCTCTAGAAGATACCATTGATCTCAATACATTGATCTCAATACATTGATCTCACACATAATATGAATAGCCCCAAGCGTTTTCATGAATCCTTTACTTTCAGAATTAGTATTTTGTGGGAAAGGAAGAGAGTAGACTATTTTTTATTCTGCTCACTTCTTATTTAAATGAAGATGTATTCTCTGTAGAATTTTGCAACCACAGCTGACATTTCAGATTTCAGTTTAAGTGCATAAATATTAGAAGAAAAACAGCTATGCATCTTACAAACAGAGTAAAATCAGTTCTCTGTTAATTATCTCAAATCCAGAATAAAAGTCAATGTAGCCGGAAAAAGGCTTTGCTTTGCTTTAAGGGTATCGTTCTGCTTAATATAGAGATCTCATCTATAAGCTTGAAGAAACTTTGGTCCAATTCATATCTTTAAATACTATTTGGATTCTGTATTAGTTCTCAGCAGACAGAGCAGTCAGAGACTTCTGCTGAGGAAGAGCAGTGTCTTCCAGAAACATAAACAGTTAATTTCTTCCCATGAAAGAGAAGTATGTAAGATTGTAAATGAGTTATTTGATCTTACCTCTTTTAAAGATCCAAGTTCTCCAAAAAGCGGACTTGTTTAACTTTTTATTGTGTCTAACACCAGTAAAAAAATAAAAATGCACTCGCCATCCCCTAAGAGCCGGATCGGACTTGCGTGTGTGTGCACGCACGTGCTCATGCATAATTCTGGCAGCTGTTGTGCAAACACTTGACTGTTTTATACACATACTGGGGCACATCAATATTTTAGATGGATTTCATATTCAAATATCAGCGGTCTCATACTGGATACAGTAGACAAAAGTTGCTTTTAAACTACAATATGGGACAAAATCCAGGAATATGATGTCATCGACAGAGGGATGAGTCTGTTCTGTTCAGGGAGGGGCAGAAAACCAGAAGTCATACTCATTCACACAACAGAAGGAGCTTGGCTGTTCCTGGAGACGTTTTGCACTTCCCTCATTCGTGCCTGCCCAGTGGTGAATTTGTAGTCAAGGTATGTGTTTCTGCTTCTCTTTAATATGAAAAGTTCTCCTTATTTAAACTCAGTACAGTTTGTTGCTTCTTGGAAACCACTTCTTGAATTCTTAATATGTGTCTGGTTCAGTGATAAAAAAACCTGATGTTATTAAGGCTCCAGGAACACGTAGGAGAGAAATAATTGTTGCTAATGTGATTTTGTAACTTGACAGCTTTTGCAGAGCTGTAACATTTACAGAAAAATGCTTTATTTAAAGTTCCCAACATACTGAAGGCACAGGGCTTTTCACCTGCCACAGATACTACACTGTGTGTGGGTTATTGCAGGGTAAGGATTTCCTCTGTCTGGAAGACATTTCATGTCTCTAATCATACCATGGGCACACATTCTTTCATCTCACAAAAAACAAACAAACAAACAAAAAAAAAACCACAACCAAAAAGTGCAAGCACCTAACTTTGTTTTCAGCTGAGAAAATACCTACAAAATAGTAGGGATAAACCAGAGGCAAATCTTTTCTGTTCATACCAATCATTTTCTCTCTGTTTATTATTTTGATTGTAAACTTTGTGGGGCAGGAAGCATGTATGTGTGTGTACCTTACAGTGCTAACCTGTCTCGTCTGTGCTGGTTGAATGGCAAAGGCTAAACCTTTAAATCTTTTTCTTACGTTACAAAGAAGAAAAGTTTTGGATGACTTTTAAGCAGCATTATCAGTTTCTTTCTAACATCTGTATCCAATAAAAAAAACGCAGTAGGAGCATGATTTATAAGACGCTGATAAAAACGAAGAAAAGCTTAGAACTAGCATTGTAATTAGGATCATAGAATAAAAAGACCAAAAGTTGAAAGGTATGCTATATTTTAGCCATTCATTTTCCATTACTCAGTATCATAAGCAGCCATCTTAGCGTAATGTTAACAAAATAGACATAAAGCCAAAAGAGTTTAAATAGTTTGTCATTAGAATCCTTGTTTTAATACAGTGTATGTAATCTTACAGATGCCATCTCCTAAGATAAGAATATACTTTTATCTTGAACAGCTGCACATATTTTCTTAAAGAAGCTAGAAGATAGCTAGGAAAACAATAATCTATTTTTACAGCAGACTCTCTAAGATTGAAGTATGAGGATGCAGAGTAATATCAGTCATGACTTTTATCTTCTTTACTGTTCTCTGAGAATGTGCAATCATAAGAAAAAAATTAAGAGACGCATCTTTGCACTTCAAGTTCATTCATAGACTTCCAAATACAGTTGTCTTGTTTTCCGTGTGAACAGTGAAAACACAGAGAGAAGTGATAAATGTACCCAAGTTAATAAAATCTTTGGAATAGTCAGAGCAGAGACACCTCCAGAAAGTCTTTGTCAGGTTTTCCACTGGGCCCCAAACATGCTAGAACAAGATCAGTTGGGTTACTCAGAGTTACCTGAACATTTTGTACCAACAATCCAACACAAAAACTGTCTTTCCCAATGAGTTGGAGCTTCCTGAAATAAGGATCTCATCATTGTACTGGAACACAGCTTTAAAAAATTCTCATAGCTCTCTAATATTTGAAGTCTTTTCTCAGACAGAAAAAAAAAAGGAATTTAGTAGAATTTTAGCACAGTCATTTTGAAGATCCTAAAATTCACTGATTAAGAATAGTCAGTGTTTGATAGTCTGCTTTTCATGGAAAGAAGCTCTTAGAAACCCGATTCCCAAAGCATGTTTCAAAGTCATGGTAGGAAAAAAATCATATTGCAAATCCAGGAAAACTCATCAGAGAACAGAGCTTTGTTTTCAAAACAAATTCCCAACCAAGTCAACAGCAAAAGCACACCTGAACTCATTAGCAATGCTAATCAGTATAAAATTAAAAAAGCCCCAGAAAACAAATGCCATTTAGCTAAAACCTCTGCTTTTCTTTAAAAGTTATGCATAAGCCTACCTTGTTCTTTTGTTACTCGTGGTGATACATTATTTATTTAGAAGTAATATTAGTGCACCGGGATTGAAGAACCCTGGTCATGGTCCAAAACCCCACTAAGGACTTAAATATTGGAGAACAGACACAAATGGGATACAGATCAGAAAAACACAAGGAGCAAAGTTGCCTTCTGAAGCCTGCTATCTTCAGTCTGATGATAAGCAAGTCCAAAGCATTCAGACACAGAGGCAAGGCTGCTACCTGCAACATCAACAAAATCCTTCAGGACTCTTGGTGTCCTCTAAAGGGGTGGATTTGACTCACTTTTGCTGCTGTACTGTATTTACCTCCCCTGCACATTAACTCCTCAATTCAGCAAGGTTGAGCCGCTTTTTGTGAGCCCTGCAAACACGTCTGATCAACCAGGTTTCCAGATCCACTAGTGCTGAGCTACTCTAAGGTATACCAGAGTGGTGATAAGGTTGCAAACAGAGGCAGACTTCAGACTAGGGCTAATGTGCAGAGAATGGATCTGTCAAAATACAGAAATCCATTTCTCTCACTCACTTTATCTGAGATTACAGGTAAACTCCACACAAAAAAAAAAAAAAAAAAAAAAAAAAAGGGAGGGAGATACGGTTAGAGGTCCAGGTCTTTTTTAATATTAACAGGATTTATACGTGCACTCCCTGAGGCAGAACTGGCCACAGATGGTTTTCCTCCTGCAGTGTTCCTGCTTTAGCAGAAGGGACTACACCGCAGGCCTGTTCTTTGGGACCTGCACCCCTGTGTCTCTGGAGGTGCCCTGTCCCTTTGCCACAGCTATAGGATTTCCCATCAGCTGCCTGACTGACTGAAAGGCTGCTGCTCCGAGATGTCATGGGGTATAAAAGAAGGGCAGCAGGTTACCCTCCAGAAGGGTGGTGTGGGCCCCATCTCCACACACATGGAGCAAAGCACCAGCCCAAGCCACTGGCCCGGTGCACAGGGGGAACTGCCCGCAGACAGCAGGCAGGCCAGGAGACGGTTCCACCAGGTCCCCTGAGCATTTTTACAAAAAGCAACTGTGAAGCCTTCATAATTCGAAGGTGGGCCCTGATAATTAAACAAGTAAGTAGAAGGACACAAATATTGCAGTATATGTTGCTAGGTTTTGGCTCAGGCCCTCCTGCACCTCTCATCTCTTTCTCCAGCAGTCTTGCCCTGTAGAAAGCTATATTCTACACTCTCTATATTTTATTTGGCTTCTGCTCTCGATTACAACCTCCTTGAGGCAAAGCCTGTCTCTGTGCTTGCACGGCTTTTGCACATTGATTATCAGCAAAGCCTCAGATCATCTGTATCACACAGACAGTACGGCAACATCTCCAGAGCCAGTGCTCCGGGTCCTACCTGCTAGACCAGGGCAAACAGCACACCAAGCAAATGACCAGAGGAAGGGACACAAAAGGTGATACAATTAACCACACAGTCTAGATCCTCAGCTGGATTGAATGCTCACAGTGCCAATGGCATCAGCTGAATAAGGACACTTTATAGCAGATGAAGTCATAGGCATGTGCTAGCAGAGATGAGCGATTTGCTCTCCGGGAATCTGCTTACCAAACATGAAAAGGTAGCCACATCCTTTTTCTGGCTTCTTTTTTTCCAGAGGGAAAGGTCTGTGGAAGTCTTGTTTTCCTAGCTGTGAAATCAAGAGACAAGAAAGAAATCTAGGTGGTGGGTGTTCCTTTACATATCACAGCAGGCAAACCTTGCTGTGGGACACAGAATACACTCAACAATTTTTGACAAAATGACAAATTTTAGTCCTTATAACTGTACAGCCTGAGCTCAGTGCTGAACTCCTGGTCAGCTCAATGCTGACTAGAGTCACCAGGCTATTTATTGTAATGGGCTCAGCTCCTTAAAAATCTGCACTGAGCTCAAAGATGGATTTATTTCCTTATTTCTTTAGACTGAGTCATCTAAATCAAAGCCTCCAGACACTGTGTACTCTGGAGAGCTCTCCCACATGCTGCTCGTGCAGGATCCTGCCTTACCTGCTCCAGACCAGTTGATGGATGCCTGTTCTCCTTGGCATCACCTAGAAAGTTTTGCTGTTCCTGGTCCTTCCAACTCTGGGCACTGGGAACACACAAACCACTTTCTCCCAGAGTAAACAAGCAAAAGAGCAGGCAAAGGGTTAGTGGCACTAAAGGTGACCAGGAAATGTTTGCTGTGTGGAAATTCTCTCTCCTCTCTCTCTATACACACATAGACATGTATAGATACATGGATATATATACAAGTATATAGAAAACACAACTATTTACTGGCATCTTGTCAGAGAAGTAAAAAACATGTTCCTCTGCATAATTATGTTATCCATACCTGTTACTAGGGAACAGTCCTACGTAGAACCTCTGCCACTTCCTTCCTAGTTCCCACATTTTTACTTAGAAGAAAACGATCAACAAATATTTTCATCAGACATTTCTGATGTGCCCCTCTGTTAGGATCAAGATGGTCGCAATTGTTTATTTCTTCTCTTTTATTTGGGCAAGGATCTTTCTTTTTTCTTCTAGTTAATGGCAAAATTTCCAAATCATGAGGATCTGGCACTATCCCTCATGGGTAGATAAACAAGTAAAAGCAGATATAGTCTCACAAGCCTTCATTCTGTGTTGAGATTTACAGTAACAGTAAAGTAATAAAGAAGATAGACTAGCCAATTACAAGAATGAGTTTAAAACGTAGAAGCTTTCTAAATAGCTGTAATTCTTTTTTTTTTTTTTTTTCCTCAGTGAGTTACAAGTTCATTTTCAAAATGATAATATTCCAACCTGGTTAAAGTAGTCATAGTGAATCAGACATGAACGCAATTCATGAATGGCTGGAACATTGTTCACAGAAGTATTAATTTATAACATACTTTTTTTTTTTTTAAAGAGCATGTACAGGCACATTGCATATGACAGCCGTGTGTTCTCATTTTCCACATACCTCATTCCTCTAAGAAACTTTTTTTTCATTAAAAGAGTCACCTTATAGCCAAAAAATTCCAGCCAGCTGCTCAGCAACAGGGACATTTCCCAGAAGTAGAAGGAAGGAGAAGTAA